GCCGCGCGGGCACGACGTCGACGTTCACGCGCTGCTCGCTCGAGATCCGCGCGGATCTGCTCGAGCACCGCGCCGGCGCGCGGTCCTGGACCTTCTGCTTCAAGACNCACGGCGACATCGTCCCCGAGGAGTGCAAGGTCAAGGTCTACCCGAAGAAGAAGAAGATCAAGGTCGTCGTCCGCAAGGCGACGCGCGGCTACTGGGACAAGCCGGGCCGCATCTACGCGCCCATCACCAAGGCCAACTACCGCGACGGCCTCAAGCTCACGGACTGCAACCGCACCTACTAGCGGCCGGGCGCGTTTTTTAATACCGGGGCGGGTAGAAGTGGTCTGAGCGGGTCGACGGTGACGACTCGTTGAGCGGGGGCGAAGGAAGGTGCCGAGAAGGGCATGGAATGATTGCTCTGATATGACCCGTAGCGGCATGGAATGGTTGATGAGCCGTCGCGGCATGGACGCGCGCCACTAGGACAATGGGCCACGGGTCGTCCGTGGAAGCGCCGCCGCTCGAGGTGCTCCGGGCCGTCGCCGAGGGGCAGCCGGCGGCGCAGGTCGCGGCGAAGCGCGCCAGCGGTTACGCGGCGGCGGCCGCGGGCCGCGAGAGCGCGGCCCGGCGGCTGCAGGAGCTGTCGTCGTCGCTCGAGGGCCGGGCGCTGGAGCAGCCCGCGCGGCGGCTGCTGGACCTGTCGTCGTCGCTCGAGGGCCGGCCGCTCGAGCAGCCCGCGCGGCGGCTGCTGGACCTGTCGTCGTCGCTCGAGGGCCGGCCGCTCGACCCGTCGAGGATGCGCGCCGTGCGCGACGCCGCGCGGGACCTGGGCCTCGGCGCGCGGCGCGCCGGCGACGGCGGCGCCGCGTCGCCGCCGCCGGCGGCGTCGCCGCGCGGGAGCGGCTCTGGCGGCGCGGAGTCGCTGAGCGTGCGCTACGCGGCGGGGCGCGGCGGCGCGTCCGCGCTCCGGTCCATGGTCGCGAACGACGTCCAGGGCCCGTCGCGGCCCCGCGAGGCCCTGCGCTTCCAGAAGGGCGACACGATCCCGCTGGCCAAGGCGACGGTCGTCGCGTTCGTCGGGAGCGGCGCCTTTGGGGACGTCTACCGCGTCGACGTCCGCGGGCGGTCCTGGGCCATGAAGGCGATCCGCCTCGGCGGCGCGGAGACGGGCGAGCGGTCCGGGTCGGCCCTCGAGCGGCGGGCGAAGCTCGAACTGGACCTCTGCAATGAGGCGGCGGTGGCGCTCTGCGTGCCCCCGCACCGGCGCGTCGCGGCGTTACGCTTCCTCACGCCCGACCCGCGGAGCCCGACGGAGCTCTTGGTGTGCCGCAGCGTCCTGTGACGAG